AGTCACTTGTCCGTAAGCTGCGGACTGCACCTCTGAAAGCCTCAGTATGATCGGGAGTGGGTGTTTTGGGTGGTGGCTGGACATCCTCCTTGCATCTGACGAACTCCTCTTATAAGAACGAGCGTCTCAAATAGTCTACTCAGGAGGCCCTTTTTGCGGCGGAAGTGATTTCCANNGCTATAACCGGATCGGTGAACTATTGATAGTTCACCCAGGGGAGTTGGCTGAAAACCATGGTTCCAAATCAAGAGGCTTATGAACCACACTCATCCACACCTTCCTGGTTGTGGTAATGGTCACCGGCTCAATCTAACATCAAGGTGTATAGAGCATATTGGAAGTTTGACCCCGTCCAGAGGGCTCATCGTCCGATGAACTGGACACCGACCGCCAGTGGATTGCGGTATTCATTCACCGTCCAGTTGCCTTGCGGATCAGACTTCGGTTAACCGAAGGCTCCGGTAGTGGATTTCGCAAGAAAAGATTCACCTACCTTGGCCTGGCCGACCTATCAATTTGCCGACCACATTCAAATCATGGAACATTTTCCATTTTATAAAGATTATTGTACCGAGATTTGTTTGACACTGTCTGGATTCAGATATGCGTGAAATGCTATATGATGTAGTTTCTGGGCGGCCATTCACCCAACTTACGTAGACACATCAAGTCAGCAACTAGTATGTTCTAGAGGAAACCTTGCGACGTATGATGGAATAGTGATGACTGGTTTGTTATCCCTGGAACCATTTTTGTGTCATGAGAGGAGCCGTTATGATTGATATCAAAGGACACAATCAAAATCCGTCCAAATTTACCCCCTGTAGGTGACGTTGTTTCAAGTGATACATTATGCTGCTGCTGATGAGCTTATTTTGGAGTAGGCCATACTCCCACTCGTCACGATGCTTCTTACGGGACCGTTTTTAACTTTCCATTGGATAGCGAGGGGGAGAGATAGACCGCTTTTCATGCAGAACCGTTGGTTATCGTCCGATATCTCCACCGGCGGTTTATTCGGCGGAACACAATACACAACCAGTGACTAATAACTCCCCGAAGTGACCGTTCCCTAATCTGCAACCTGAAAACGTGCCCCGGTATAGTACAGCCTCATTGACCGTAGGCTGGTATCTGTTTTTATTCTTTCACTTCCTCTTATTGAATAGATGAGAGTAAAAACAGGTTTCAGGAACAGGGAAACGAACAATCAAAGAAAAGGTTGTCATGTGTTATAAAAAATGGGTGAAGTTAGGCGGCAGTGGCAGTTGGGGGGGGGTTGTTCGAACCCAGCCTCCATAGAGATAAGTTGGTGATACGTACTGCCACCTACGTTGATTTCCCAAGGGTGGATAATTGCATATAACAGATTATGAAATACATTTTGTTGATTGTTATCTTAGCAACCCTCGTTACTTTTCATTTCCACTCTGATGTTTCATGCCTGTTCTCCCCCACCCCCCGTGTATCTCTTCTGTTCAGGTATAACCCGCATAAAGGATTCCACTGTCTTCGTTCTGGAGTGTATTTTCCGGACTGGCCGGGCAGTCACTTGCCCCCACATCGAAGTTGCCTTGGTTCCAGCAAAGGACGACCCTATCCGCGTTTGAATTATACCACCGAAATATTACCACTTCTACGCACAATTTATGCTTCAGCGAATAGACAACTATATCAATTGTTACAAGATCGACCGCTCTGGCGCTGGTGGCTGTCTAAAGCCTCCGGTCAAGAATATCCGACTTGGCTTACTGACACGGTGATTAAGAATTGAAATTAACCCCGTAAAGACTTCACAATCGGACACACTCTTAGGGGACCGGCATTTTCGGTTGATCTCCTGAAAAACAACATACCTCCTCCTTCTCCAGTTTTACCATCCCCAATTCCTTTGTGGAAACTTGCATTTTCTCTGTTATTTAGCACATTTTTTGCACTCTTCTATTTTGTTTTTAATACAGAAATTTCTTTCTGAACGTTGTTTTCTTGCGCACCCCTTCGTGAGCAAGTTGCCATCCGTAGTCCAAGTTAGGGGCAACCGATCGTCGATTACAAAGCTGTTTTCTCATTTACCGTTCACAATTTGCCTGTGGATCGCATGAATCAAGGTCTCCCGCTGTTCACTTTTTCTTCATAACAGTCGACAATTGAAAGCTAGATTCACATGTCATTTTTGATGCGAATATCCCCTATGTTCGGAGAGTCTTAGGAATTAGATGTGAGGTGAAGTTTTCAGCTCCGCCCGAGGTAGCCTACTTCCCGGCCGTCCAAACCGAGTTAGGGAGTTACCNGTGCCGGTGACTGCAGCCCCATGATTGGCGGTGACCAAAGGGGATCATAAGCCATTCAGAGACAGTTGTTCCCAGGGTATCATGAGCTCCAAACAGAGATGACTTAGTTACTGCAAGCTCAACCACCTTGACCGCGATAAAGTAGATGTCTCAATTGTTGTGGACGTCAGCATATTACTGGGCAGCTGTCTGTCTCTCTCTCTATTTGCCCTTACCCTGTGTGTAATCGAGCTTGTAAATCTTTTTTCTTTTAAAGTCAATCGCATTAGCACTTGTCACGGAACCGGAGAGGTTGATGCTCAAACCTCCACACCGTGG